TAAGATGCATGCAACATGAATGAGTTATGTTTTAGCTCTTGGATTGGAGTCCCCTGTTTTAGCTGCTAATCTTGTCCATGGAATTGATCGTGCCCCATTTACTTCTCGAGCTTTGGCTTTACAGACCTTTCATGTCTGAGACTGTTCTGTTTGAAAAATGTTTTTCTCCTTTTTCTTGTTTTAGAAGGGAAAAGGATAAAAATTCTGGAAAGTATTGTTCCTGAATTCAGGCTCGCAATTGAATCAAATTGTAAACATGAGTTCAAAGTATATCAAAGGAATCAATAGCTCTTTTTAAATTTTTAGAGTTATAGCTCTTTGACAAATGTTAAAAAGCATGAGTTGGCTTTAGGTTAGCCTTATTTTTAAGGTTTTGATAACCCCAAATATCATTTTTTTGAAATATCACAACATGCTTTAGCATTTTAATTAGATGCGGACAAAATGACACAACTAGCATTATTGATTACTAGACCTTCTATTTTGGTTCTCTAAAATCTTCCATTTGTTCAATTTTGTAAGCTCCTCTAACAAAGGTAGTGCAGAAATATCATCTAAAAATGAAATTCTTGAGTCCTCGTGTGAAATTGACTATAACAAGTGTTCCTTAACTCCCTTAGTCCATTTTACCGAGACTTCATGCTTAGATAAATTTGATTTAATTTGTCGTTATCTGGCTAGCTGAATCCTTAAAGCCGGGGCGTTTAACAAATTTCTTTAGAGGGGCAACTTAACATTATAATCAGTTTTATCACGTTAATTGAAGGGTTCATCTCATCACAAAGTCTTCGGTAGGACAATTACAATGGAGAAAACACCGAATTGCCAAGTATTCGAGCAATGTCATGGTTTGAACGTAATCTACTCATAAGGCCAGAGCTTTCAAGTTTCCTCTATAACCAATTTCCTTAGTGGAATAGCTCAGCTTTACGGATTTAATTTCTTAAGATTGTCAAGAAGAACCTGTTATAGTCTAGGTGTTGTTGAAAGTCAAGGAATCTCATTTTTAGATTTCAATTTCCAAGCAATTGACCTAAACTAGATTTACCTACTCGACTATTTCATATGTAAAGATAATGATCATCATTGAACGTCTTAAATAAAAAGTATACTAATGTCATATTGAAAAGGATGCCCCATGTTGTCCGCACCTTATGAAATGAAGAGGTTATATTGGTTTATTGCAAAAGTAGGGTACATTGTTTGAGTGCATATTCTGGGTAAAGTCAAATTCCTTGTTTTAAATCATGTTACTTCGTCAAAGATCTGTAACTTTGAACCATTTAAAGAGTTTCTTAATTCAGATGATATTCAAAGAATTGCAAGTTTGCAAATGTAATTCATTGCTTAAAGTCTTTAAAGTAACATAAATTTATTTAAAAGTCCTTACAAAAACTTGAGAAAAAAATGGAAAAAAAATCAAACAGAATGCCTCAAATGATGAAATGATCTTCCTCACTTGGATGCCCCCAAGTTGTTGAACTCGATCCAGTTCTGGTTACGCATGTTTTGCACGACTCTCTTGAATGCGTAATAATTCTCAATTGTGTGCCCTGGGACACCGCCGTGATATTCACAATGAGCATTCTCGTCATACCACTTAGGGTATGGGGACTTCATGGTTTCCACCAGGTATGGTGACACTACATGGGTGTCAAAAAGTTGCTAGTAAAGCTCTTTGTAGGTCCTGGGAATAGAATCAAAATGTTCCCATTTTTTATGAGACATGTGAATATAATAAAAAAGAAAAATAACGTGAAATATACAGGAATGCATGATGCATGCAATGTTCGAGGCATTGATCAAAAAATGTGTCTGTTATTAGAAATAATCCTTATTGGAGGCAAAATTGTTTTATCTTTTAAGAGACAAAAATATCATGACTGCTTCTGACATGTTGACTAGTCTTCTGCCTTCGTCTGTTTCCGGTTGAATAACCTGACGAACCGCTCTGGCTTCTCTGGATGAACCGTGCAAATGTTGAGTTTCTTTTTGTACTGGCCCAAGAAGTCTCGAATGAGTGCATCTCTGGCATTTATCTTTTGTTAAACCTATTCCCAACGAATACATCATTGAAGCCCTCAATTGATAGGAACTATGTGAAGTTCATTTGTATGTTTCTTGAATTCGTCAGCAAGGGTCTTCAATTTCATCTATCGTTTTGCCATTGTTGTCTTTGAAGGGACTCTGTTGAAAACATTTTGATGTTTCGATATAACAAATTAAGTTAAATAAATTTTAAGATTTTACAAATGATTTTATAAGTATATTCGACACAATTATTCAAATATCAAATCCATTACTCCAAGACTTTTCAAGATCAAATTCAAACCTTACTAAATGTGTAAAATTGTGTTTTATACTTAATATATTTTTGAAACAATTTTCACAAAGTATTTTGAACCAAAATCAAGCCTAAAATCAATTTTTCAGAGTGATGCACCGATGCACCAATCCATGCATCGATGCACCATGAATTAAATTGAACATCGAATGCATTTCATGCATCCATGCACTGAGGATTTTATGAAAACATCGAATGCATTTGATGCATCGATGCACCAGCCATGCATCGATACACTCTGGCTATTTTGAAACATCAAATGCACTTGATGCATCGAGAGTGCACTGATGCACTAAGGGTCCAACGGTAAAAATATTTGAATTTTACACTGAAGCACCGATGCACCATGGGTATGCATCGATGCACTGACACTCCCAACTCTTTAATTAATTGTTTTCACACTTAAACGGCTCTATTGACTCAACTAAGCATCCCCAATGTTCAGAATCATTTGAAGGTGTATTTAAACAAGCTTAGAAGCCACTGATCAATAACAAGAAACAACAATCAACAAGAATCAAGAGAGATCAAAGAGAAAGCATCAAACCTCAAGTTTGAGCATTTTAAGCCTATTTTTCATTCAATATTCATTTTGCTTTCAAGAACACTACTTGTACTCAATTGTATTCATTTTTTAGTGTTCTTTTCTTTGTTCTAGAATTGTGCAAACAATCTACCTTGTGAGGATTTCCTTGTAAGTTTGCAAATTTGTAATCTTCTCTTTGAGAAAGAATGTTCTCAAGAATTGGGGTATATTCTTGAGGGAGTTGTAAAGTTATCTCTTTGGCCTCAAAAGAAAGAATAAATTAGTGAATTTGTTGGAAAATCCTTAGTGTGGATAACTAAGGTAGTGGACGTAGACTTTGATTGAGAAAGTCGAACCACTCTAAATCGATGTGCAATTACTTTTAATTTTCTGCAAAAGCTTCCACCAAAATTTTAATTGCCAATTCACCCCCTCTTGGCTGATTCCGTCGATCGATTAACTCAACAGACTCCCTTCATCTTGCCCTTTAAACCTCTGCCAATCAGTTCTTCAAAGATAGACTTTCATTGTGCTTGATGTAGACCCAGTTCATTCTGAGTCATTTATAATGCAGCAGAGTGATACACTCTTCAATTATGGGCACCACATTTTCTGGATTGAATGCGACACATAGTCGCCTTGTATACTATCCTCTATTTTTTCATCTCTTGTATTACAACCCCTTTATCCATTAATGCATATTATTCATGTTTAACAAACACGTTTTTGGTGGATCAATAGATCTTTTAAATGATGCAAGTGATGAAAAATAAAATAAAATAAAAATGAAAAGAGTTAGTGAGGTGAAAATAATAAAAAATAATAATGAAAAATAAGTCCTACCCCACATGATGTTTACCCCACATACTTTAATTCCTACCCGGACATGATCTCTATCTCGCATGATGTTTAACACACACATTTTTGGTGGATCAATAGCTTCCACCAAAATTTTAATTGCCAATTCACCCCCCTCTTGGCCGATTCCATCGATCGATTAACTCAACAATTGGTATCAGAGCCTCACTCATTTGAAGCTTTAATTGCATCTTGAGTCGATTCAGGAAGAGTTACATCGATTGGCAAGTCATTAATGGCCTCTAGTTCAAATGTCAACTCTGGTCTCGATTCGATGCTCGTCAACAAGCATCCTTTCTTTAATGGAGCTAACTATGCCTATTGGAAGAATAGGATGATGTATTGCATTCAAGCAAGTGACATGGGAGCATGGAATGTTGTAGAAGACGGATATATCAAGCCTCTCACTCATCCAAGATTGTGGAGCGAATGAGAGACGAAAATGTTCCAGCTCAACTCTAAAGCCATCCATATCATATTTTGTGCTCTTGGACCAGATGAATATGGAAGAGTTTCATCTTTACAACTGCCAAAGAAATATGGGATAAACTACAAGTCACTCATGAAGGCACCGACGAGGTAAAAGAATCTAAATTAGTCTTCTAAAACATAGTTATGAAAATTTCATGATGAAACCAAATGAAGATATCAAAGCTATGACAGATAGATTCTCAACGATTGTTAATTGTCTCAAATCATATGGAGAGATCATTCCAAACGAAAAGCTTGTGAGGAAGTTAGTTTACTCACTTCCAAAATCATGGCAATCCAAGAAGACAGTAATCATCGAGGCTAAGAACCTAAAGTCCTTAACTCTTGAAGAGCTAATCGGTTCCCTCCTCACTCATGAAATGATGCTTGAAGATGAGGTGGACCTCGATAAGATTAATGAGACACCAAAGGAGAAGGAGAATAAGAAAAACATTGGAGTTGCTCTCAAATCCACAAAAGATGAGAGTGATTCGGATGAAGATGACGATGATGAGGAAATGGCATTTTTTGCCAAATGGTTCAGAAAAGTGATGAGACCTTACCGAGTAAGAAAATTCAAATGAAATGAAGGCCTCAAAAATGAACCAAATGAGAAGGACCTGATCATTTGCTATGAATGCAAAAAACTGGGCATGTCAAATATGATTGCTCACAATTGAAAAGAAAGGGTCATTCGAAGAATAAGCACAAGGCTCATGTGGCTACATGGAGCGATGAAGAGGGTTCCGATAAGGAGGAACAAGAAGTAGCAAACTTGTGCTTGATGGCATTCGGGGAAGATTCTAAGGAAACCTCTAACTCATCTGAATTAGATGATTTATCTTATGATGAGTTATTAGAGGAATATAATGGGTTGGCTTCAAATTATGAGAAATTGTTTTTAAAATATAAAAATGATGTCACAAAATTGAAAAATGAAAATAAACTCATATCCAAGACCAACAATGATTTTGAAAGTAAAATCAAAGATTTGCAAATCAAACTAGAAGAATTTGAAAAGAAAAATTCAGATTTGTAAAATTTACTTTCAAAGGTCAATGATGATCATCAAAAGAAAATTGATGATCATCAAAATAAAATTGATGATCTTAAAGCTTCTTTTGATAAAGTTGGAACAAAACGTTTTGAAAATGGAGAAAATTCAAAATCCAACTTTGATAGAAAAAGGTTTAAAAACTACAATCATAGAGGTCCCCGAAGAACCTCTAATAGAAAAATCATTAGAAGTATATGGGTTCCTAAAGGACTCATTACTACTAAAGATAAAGATATCCTACACAAATGGATACCTAAGGGGACTAGGATTTTGGAAACTAATGAATATGAACCCAAAATAATTTGGGTACCAAAAATTAGAAATTAATCTATGTTTGTAGGAAAAGGAACATTGCTACAAGGCACGAGAAATAAATTCAAACTCATGGTACCTTGATAGTGGATGCTGAAGACACATGACCGGAGACAAAAGCCGGTTCATAGAGCTTAACGCCAAAAATGGAGGAGAAGTGACTTTTGGTGAAAATTCAAAAGGTCACATCGAAGGTATAGGAACCATAGGTAATACCTCTTCCATACAAATTAAAAATGTTTTATATGTGAATGGATTAAAGCATAATCTCTTAAGTATTAGTCAATTATGTGATAAAGGATTAAATGTCATGTTTAAAACTAATGGTTGTAAAGTTATTGACATTGCATCTAATCGGATTATGCTTGTTGGTAATAGAATATGAAACATATACATGGTGCATTTAGACTCTATTGATATGACTAATTTATGCCTAGTTGCTAATTATGAGCATGATAGTTGGTTATGGCATAGGAGACTAGGGCATGCTAGTATGAGTGTTTTGCAACGGCTAATTTAAGGAAATTTAGTTTGAGGGTTGCCTAACCTTAAATTTGATAATGATAAAATATGTGATGCTTTTGCTAAAGGAAAAAAAGAGTGAATTTCTTTTAAATTCATTAATGATGTATCAACTAGTAGAGTATTACAATTGATCCATATAGATCTTTTTGGGCCAACTAGGACTACTAGCTTGGGTGGAAAACAATATGCATTTGTCTTGGTAGATGAAAATTCTAGATATACTTGGGTTATGTTCTTAATTACTAAAGATGAAGCATTAGAAAAATTCATCATGTTTTCAAAAGTAATCCAAAACGAAAAATGTTACTCTATAACTAGTGTTAGGAGTGATCATGAAACTGAATTTGAAAATCTTGGATTTACTAATTTTTGTAATTCTAATGGTATTAGCCATAATTTTTCAGCACCTAGAACCCCTCAACAAAATGGAGTTGTTGAGAGGAAAAATCGAACTTTAGAAGAAATGGCTAGAACCATGCTATGTGAAAACAATTTGCCAAAATATTTTTTGGGTGAAAGCCACAAACACTGCTTATTATGCTGTAAATCGAGTAATGATTAGGCCAATCTTATCGAAAACTCCATATGAACTTTTCAAAAATAAAAAACCTAACATTAGTTATTTTCATCCTTTTGGATGTAAATGTTTTGTTTTAAACAACGATAAAGACAATCTTGGCAAATTTGATGCTAAAAGTGATGAATTAATTTTTATGGGTTATTCCTTAAATTCTAAAGCTTATCGAGTATTTAATAAAAGAACTTTAGTGTTAAAAGAGTCTATACATGTTGTTTTCGATGATAATCCCCTTCCGAGGAAGGATTCTTGTTTGAATGATGATGTAGGTATTATAAATATAAATGACGTTGAACATGACGGTGGAGAACGATCATCAAAGGAAGAAACGAAAGATGAGGAAACTCAAGATTCTCTCGAGAATCCAACCATTGAAGAAAGGGAAGTATCTTACCCAAGAGAGTATAACTATGTCGAGGATGGTGAGATTATAAGTGATTCGTCCAAAGGGGTAACAACTCGATCTTCTCTTAGAAATATTTATAATTATATTGCATTTATCTCATGCATAGAGCCTATGAATATTAAAGAAGCATTAAAAGATGAACATTGGATTATGGCTATGCAAGAAGAGTTAAATCAATTTGAGAGAAGTAAAGTATGGACATTAGTTGAAAGGCCTAGTAATAAATCTACTGTAGGTACTAGATGGGTATTTAGGAATAAACTTGATGAGAGTGGTAATATAGTGAGAAACAAGGCTAGACTTGTTGCTCAAGGCTATACTCAAGAAGAAGGCATAGACTATGATGAAACATATACTCCCGTAGCTAGGAGGGAAACAATTATAGTGTTATTAGCATTTACATGTTTTCTTGAATTTAAATTATATCAAATGGATGTTAAAAGTGCATTTTTAAATGGTTTTATAAAGGAATAAGTGTATGTGGAACAACCTCCAGGTTTTGAAGATTTAAAATTTCAAAATCATGTTCTTAAATTGACAAAAGTGCTTTATGGTTTAAAACAAGCTCCTAAAACTTGGTATGAAAAATTGTCAAACTTTTTAATTGAAAAAGGTTTTTCAAAAGGGAAGGTTGACACTACATTGTTTTTAAAGCATAAAGGTAAAGATTTATTAGTATTTCAAATTTATGTTGATGATATAATATTTTGTTCTACTAATGATGTTCTTTGCCAAGAATTTTCTAAGCTAATGCAAAGTGAATTCGAGATGAGCATGATGGGGGAGCTCTCATTTTTCTTGGGACTCCAAATCAAGCAAAGAAAAGATGGCATCTTCATCAATCAAGCTAAGTACGTCAAAGACATGCTCAAGAAGTTTGGACTGGAAAATGGGAAACCGCATGACACTCCAATGAGCTCATCAACAAAGCTTGACATAGATGAAGGAGGTAAAAGTGTGGATGTTAAATTGTATAGGTCAATGATTGGTTATTTGCTTTATCTAACTGTAAGTAGATCGGACATTATGTTTAGTGTTTGCTTATGTGCTAGATTTCAATCATACCCTAAGGAATCACATTTACTAGCTGCTAAGAGGATCTTTAGATACCTTAAGGACACTCATAGTTTAGGACTTTGGTATCCTAGAGACTCTAGCTTTAGCTTGCATGCCTTCTCTGATGCGGATTATGGAGGATGCAAATTAGATAGGAAAAGCACCTCCGGTACTTTCCAATTCCTTGGAAATATGCTGATTGCTTGGTTTTCAAAGAAACAAAATTGTGTTGCATTATCTACCACTGAAGCAGAATATATTTCAGCCGGTAGTTGTTGTGCACAAGTTTTATGGATGAAACAACAACTTTTCGATTATGAATTTGAAGTAGGTACCATTCCTATCAAGTGTGACAATACTAGTGTTATTTGTCTCACTAAAAATCCCATCCAACACTCTAGAACTATGCATATTGAAATTAGACATCACTTCATTAGAGACCATGTCGCTAAGGAAGATGTAGTTCTAGAATTTGTTGATATTTTGCACCAATTAGCGGATATCTTTACAAAACCTTTAGACAAAGAAAGATTTTGGACACTTAGGAGAGAATTAGGTTTAACTGACCTATCTTCAATTAGTGTTTAAAATAATCTTATCACTTTTAAGTATAAATGAAAAATGCTTATAATAATAATTTTTGATTGCATTCTTTGCTATTAGTTAGGGGGAGTTTTTGTTGCTTGATGAAAATTAATTTTATGTTCAAAAGTAGTTTAAGGATTAATTTGATTGATTAAACATGATTAATTTTCAATATATGAGTTGCCAATACCACTAGAGCCAATTAATTTAGCATTTTGAGTGTTTAAAATAGATTTTTGACATTTTTGTGCATCATGCATCGATACACCTAACAGTGCATCGATGCATCCTTGAATGTGCATCAATACACCATGAAGGTACACCGATACACGCCTTGAATGTGCATCGATGCACAAGGCCATGCATCGATGCATCCGTTGGGTTTTAGGTAATAAAACCCTATTTTCTCATTCTTTCAAATGTCTAAACCTCAAAACACCCCACCGTTCGTCCCTCTCTTATTCAAAAATCTCCTTTTGCTCAAAATCAATGAAATATTATCGGAATCTTCGAGCTTTTCATCTCTATATCCTGCTACTATCATTAAAACGTGCAACACAACATCTCATTCTCATCAATCCAAAATTTTCAAGGTATTTTTTCTAAAAACCTATTTTTATTATATTCTAATCTTAGGACTAGTTTTAATTAGTTATAGGATGAACATTTTATCGGGCATTGATTGTTTGATAATTACAAACTAGATTTTACAACCAATTTCATCAAAAACTCACAAATTTTCAAAGAGATTTTTGAACTTTTGAAATAAAAAAATCAAAAATTTGAATTTAATTTTTAAATTTGATGTTTTTGATTTAATTATGTTGTTTTCATAAAAACTATACATATTATGATTTTACAAAAATTGTTTTCAAATAGTTTTCAAAACTTTCCCATTAGGATTCGGTTTAGAGAACCTTGAATTAGTGAGGACTCAATTGAGTTTTGGGATTGATTATTGTGCATACATGTGTTTCAAATTGCAGGTTACATTCCTTTTCCGAATCTTTAAAACATGTCAAATCCCAAACGCCCTAGGACTTCATCGAGTCATTCTCGTTCAAACCAACCTCCTAATCTCGTTCCTCCTCCACCTACATCTCTATTAGGATCTTGTTTTAACATGCCTGAGCGTCGTAGAGACGAATTGTACTCTAGGTACAGAAATTCTTTTCAATCTTATAGAATCTGGGAAGAGCGTATTCCTTCTCTTCAAGCTATGATAGATATTGACTTTGAATACCTTCTGATTCTTAAAGCTTGGAAGTTTGATAAAATGTTTCAGCTCCAACCAA